CTCTGTACAGTCACGCAGAGGGGCACCGGGAAAAACAGCCAAGAGGAAGGTCCCCACTGCACCCCCACGGTTCTGGGGTCAGCCCCAGCCCCGGGCTGTGCCCTGTGCAGGGCAGAGGTGCTGCAGAGGGACACGCACAGCTCACCCCATCCTCCCTCCGGCCCGGACACACCTCACCTCCCGGCGCCCCCAGCCCCGTGCCCTGAGCCGCCCTCGCAGACAAATCCCCGGAGGAAGCAGTCATTAAAACAACAGGGCTACTTATCGGCGCTAGCCGATTTCCACAAAGCACTTCCCACGCATCGCCAACTTACCCTCGCGGCACCTCTCCGGCGAGCAGAGCCAGCCTGCCGTGACCCCTCCCGGGCACCCTGGTCCACAGAGACACTGCCAGCCCAGTCCCACCAGTAACATGGCGGAGAAGGCTCTGGGGCTGATTGCAGGATGGGTTTCAGCTGGGCTAATCATTGGGCACACCTGGGTGGGAAAGGGCTGGGCATGCCTGGCTGTGATTCTCTGTCATACCTGTCCTGGACCCCTGTCCCTCCTCCATCACCCCAAGGCTGGCCCTGTGTGGGTGCTGAGGAGGGAAAGTCCCCCACTTTGTCTGTGCCTCAGTTTCCCCCAGTGGCAGAGGGGATAGAGCGGCTGCTTCGTGGGAGAATAAACACCCCAAAGGTGGCGAGGGTCTTGTGTGCCGATAAAGGACAGGCAAACCCTGGACAGGCAGCTGCCAGCAGGTCAATGTACCCAAAAATGAGATCCTCCTTGAGCCCTTTGTGTCTTGCACAGCAGGAAGGGCTGCGTGTCCAAAAGGGAAACACAGCTTGGTATAGAGGGCAGATCGTGCCAGGAAAAGGAGAACGGTTTTAAACTATAAGAGGGGAGATTCAGACTTGATGTCAGGAGGGAATTCTTCCCTGTGAGGGTGGTGAGGCAGCTGTGGCTGCCCCATCCCTGGAAGTGTTCAAGGCCTGGCTTCATGGAGCTCTGAGCAGCTTGGTCTAGTGGGAGATGTCCCTGCCCGTGGCAGGGGCGTGGAACGAGATGGTCTGTAAGGTCCCTTCCAACCCAAACCAGCCTGTGGTTCTGCGGTCTGTGAAGAGCTCCGGGTGCCCCGTTCCTGAAGCCGGGGTCCGTGCCGGGCAGCCAGGATGCTCCGCTGCCCAGGGAAAAGCCGCTTTCCCGGCAAGAAGCTGGGATTTGGTTCCCTCTAGTGTCATCGCGCTCTGTTGCGGAGCGGGGACTGGGGCAGCGGGGCTTTGCTGATGGTAGCCCCGTGCAGGGGGATGAGTGGGGTCCCTGTCCTCGCCGGCTCCACAGTTTCTGTCCTCGCACAGTTTCAGTGAACTCCAGGGGCTAAATAGGCTGCCCAGGGCAGTGATGGAGCCACCACCAGCCCTGGAGGGATTTAAACCAGGGATTTAAAAGACAGATGTGTACAGATGTGATCCCCAGGGACAGGGTTTAGTGGTGGCCTTGGCAGCGTTAGTTAATGGAGCTCAATGATCTTAGAGGTCTTTTCCAACCTAAATGATTCTGTGATTCTGAGCCACGGTCCTGACACTCACGGACTGGGTTCATGGAGACTCTCCTTTGCTTCCAGCTGCATCCCACTGTGAATCCCACTGGCAAGAGCCAGTCCATCCATCCCTGGGCTGCATCCCCACAGCATCGCTGCCACGGGGCTGCTCAGCTCTGGGTCCCCTGGCCACCTTCGTGTGAGCAGTTATTCCCTAATAACCACTGCTTTGGGGCAGTGGGAAACGAAGGCTGAAATGTTGTTTGCTTGGGCTGGAGGATAATTTGGGCCTGTGGAGCGCTGCTGTTTTGGCAGAGGAGCTGCTGTTGATGGATGTGCTGCCTTTTCGGGAGCAGAACAAAGGGAGGACGAGGCGCGTGTCTGGCTCCCCGCCAGCCCGGCCCATCTCTCCCCTCTCAAGTGTTCCTCTTTGGCTCCCTCAGTCACCATTTGCTGCTCTCCTCTTTAGACTAATGAGGAGACATTTTGCATTCACGTTTCCTCACGGGCCAAATGCGCCCCTGGCATCGTGGAGCAGTGCTGGCAGGCTCCTGCCTGGCTGCTGCTCCTCTGCTTCCTGCCCCGCTGCCTCATCTCCTTCCATTCAGTCGTGGATGAAGAACAACAACAGGCCAATCCACAGCTGGCCAGGACCCCTCTCCCTCATACCTGTCCATCCACAGACCGGCAAAGCAAACAGGGAATAGCCAGTGCCAAGGGGAAGCTGTTTGGCTCTGGAAGTCTTCCCAGAGGAAAAGGGCGCTCTGGTTGTCCACTGTATTATTTACTCAATCCCCTTTGTGCCACAGAAAAGATTTACTTTGAGAAGATTAATGGCTCAAGGGACTGTGAGAGAAATCCTCTGAGATTGCCTGGTTCAGGGGAGAAGGCAAACGCCTCCTGGCTGAGGCTGCAGCTCCCAGGGGATCCGTGGGCTCAAGGAAAGGGCTGAGGGGTTGGGGCTTGTCCTGTGGGACACCCTCCAATGGGGACAACGACTCACCTGACCCAAGCCCTGGGGAAGGCAGGACTCTCTCACTGGGGCAGTGGCAGGAGGAAGGAGACACGGTGCCCTTTTCCTGTGGTCCTCCCAGCTTCCCTCTCCCAAAGCTCCTGGGCTCAATATCCAAAGCAAAGGACTGTGGAGGTGTGGAGAGCAGGGGCACAGGGAGGCCACATTTACTGTGCATCATATAATTTGCTTGTGCCTTTCCTGTGTTCCTGGTTCCCAGACTCCCAGAGGAGCAGGGAGCTGGGCTGCTCACAGTTCAGCTGTTACAAGAGCCTTGCCCTCCAAATGGAACACCCAGGGCAAGTGTTCCTGTGCTGGAGCATGTCCTGCCCTGCCACTGCCACCCCCTGCGAGTGTCCCCAGCCCCTGCCAGGGGTGTGAGGGGCCGGGCAGGTACACGTGGGTGTCCACAAGCCGTGCAGAGTAATGCTATTAATGCCATCTGGTGCCGAGACAGAGATCCCGCACGGGCAGCCAGACACGGCTTTTCTCTCCCCGTAATCCCCGGCCCCCGAGCCACGGGGGCTCCGTCTGTGGGGCTCCACGGGGGGTGAAGGGCACTGCTGTGCCCTGGCACCAGGGAACAGGGGTGTGAGACTCTGCTGAGAGCGGGTCTTTTCACACCCCACTGCCTTCCTGCCTGCTGGGAGCTTTGGCTGCTGCTTTTGGGGAACACAACCCCACTGCCCTCAGCAAGGACTGGGGGTCAGAGCAGGGAGCGGGCAGGGCAATTCTGCTGTGACCAAACCTTTCTGCGCTGTCAAACAGGCACTTTTCGTAGAGTCACAGAATCAGTCAGGTTGGAAAACACCTCTAAGGTCATCAAGTTCAAGCATTAACCATTTTCTCCCTCAGATGGAGGACCCTGGTCCCTGTTTGGGCTGTGCGAAAGCTGCAACGACTCTTTATCAGTGGGTCAGTGTCAAGTCAAAATTATATTCCAAAATAATCTCCTTACTGTGTTAAATAAGCACCTCAGATCAGACAAATTGCACGGATTTTGCCTAATAACCTTGCCCCAGCTAATCCTATTTTTCTGTCAATGTCTGACCTATATCAAAGCGCAAACGGACCTTGGGGGCCGGTTTCTCCACCCCAGCACCACCAGGATGGTTTGGCTTCTGGAAGGCAGCACCTCACACACCTGAGCCCCTGCAGCAGCTTCAGGTGAGGGTGGGAAGCTTGGTGTTCTCACCCAAAGTGTTCCCTGACCAAGCACCCCCTGGAATGCTGAGGAGAGTTCCCCACTCCTCCTGTCCCTGAGTCCCTCTTTCTCTGCCCGTTTGGGGTGACCCTTGGCACCCTCGGCCCCAGAGCTGCAGGAGAAGGGGTGAAGGTGCTGGGGCAGGGTGGGGGCAGTGGTGGGGGACAGGCAGCCCTGCCCTCCGGTCACTAGGGGTCTGTGTCGGTCCAGCTCAGCACACGCGGAGTGAACCTCCCTCCTCACTCACCGCCCAATTGCGGGAGAGTTTTGCGCCTTTTTTTTTTTTTTTTTTTTGTTCTTGAAAGAGGCGTTTCTGTCTGTATCCTGTGCTGAGAGAGGCCATGAGCTCTCACACAGCTCCGTGCTCCATCCCAGCCCTGCTCCTGACCGAGAAGGACGCCTGGATCAAGCTCTGTAATGCTGTGATGGGCTGACCTTGGCTGGACCCCCAGTTGCCCAATGAGCTACTCCATCACTCCCCTCCTCAGCAGGACAGGGAGGGAGAAAAAAGGAGGGGAAATCCCCCAAACTTGTGATTCAAGACAAAGGCAGTTCAGAAATCGAAAGCAAAAGGTGTGTGCACATAAGAAAAGGGGAAAAAAAAGAAACGAAAAAATTGTATTCTCTACTTCCCATCCACAGGCAGTGTCCAGCCCCTTTCCAGGAAGCAGAAGTTGCTCCTGAAGACAAAGGTTGTAAATCATAAAAAAACCCCCTTTCTCCACCTTTCCCTTACCTTTTATGCCTGAGCAGATGTCACATGGGCTGGAATATCCCTTCAGTCAGTTTGGGGCTGTCCTGGTGGTGTCCCCTCCAGGATCCTGCCCACCCCCAGACTGCTGGTGGGGGAGATGCTGGAGAGACAGCACTGATGCTGCGGGAGCAGCAGGAGCCAAAACTGGTGGGTTACCAACATCTTCCCAGCTCCCAACACGCAGCCCAGCACCACGAGGGCTGAAATGGGGGGAATTAACTCCATCCCAGCCAGACACAAGCACACAAACAGCCCCACACGTGCCCGCGCTGCCAGCCGCTGCCCGAGCATCCCAAGGGAAAGGCAAGTGCTGCAGGACCCAGGAATCTGCCGCCGGGAGGAGAAACATCCGGAGCAAAGCCAGGGTGGAGCCAGCCGGCTGTTCCATGCCGGGGGTGGGGGGGGAGGGGGAACAGCAGGAACCTTTCCTGGGTCTGGGGTGGAAGATGCCCGCAGGGCAGAAAAGTTCTTTTGGCGCTGGGCCAGGAGAGTGGGCAATTCAAACGCCTTTGGGTACAGAGTTTAACCTCTCTGAGCTTGAACTTTATTAGCCAAGAAACTCTCGCTGGGTCTAAGAGAGGGAGAAGAAGCAGGAGGGTAATTTGCATTTTGGCCTTGCAGGGTAGTGGATCCACTGGAGCAGGAGAAGGGGTGGCCTTTGACAAGGATTTGGATGGAGCTCTGCTTCCATGGTGGCACAGCCGCTCTGAAAGCAGAGAGAGGAAGGGTTATATGGCCAGTGTGTCCCAAGAAAACCCCCCTGTAGGTACTTCCCTGAAGTACAAGCACCCCGAAGCATCCCTCCCTGCACAGGGAGCCTGGCTGCCAGCTGGAGCCTCCTCCTGCAGCCTACCTGCACCTACAGGTTCTCCTCGTTCCCTTGTCTGTGGAGCAAAAAGCAAAGGGAGATGTGTTACACGGAGCAATGCTGCTGAGACGGCGGGGGGAGCACAAACCAAGATCCCCCCTCTCAGGCCTGGGACAGTGAGGAGAGATGAGGCTGCCTGGAAACCGTGCAACACCCACCTCAGCTTCTTCTTCCCTCCGCAGTGGAACCGCTGGCCTGGGGGCAAGAGGAGTGACTGAGGTCCCTGGGGCTGAGCCTCCCCCTGCCCCGTCTCACCTCTGCAAGCCCTGGCACTGCCCAGTCACAAATGCCCGCTTGGAAGTCTGTCTGTCTGTCTTCTAAGCCGTCCCACAATTGCAAATGCTGTTGGTTTTCTACTGGGCACTGTTTCTGCACCAGCCCCGATGCTGCAGCCACCCCAGCCCCACAGAGCAGTGTGGGTATGGAGCAGTGCCAGAACACCCAAGTAGGGTCACAGGGTGCCCTGCACACCCAGCACTGGGTCACTCTGGGGGCTGCTGAGATCCAAGGGCTCTGGGAAGGCTGGTTTCTCGCTCTGGAAATGTCAGAGTTTTCTCTGCTATTTTTAATGAGTGACCTTCCCTCTGAAGCCTTGGTGCTGGCAGGGAAACACTAAATATTTACGTGGTCTCCTTCCCAACTCGCTCTCTGTTGGGAGAGTGCCTGGATGGAAAGTTCCCAGGCAGCCCTGGGGCAGGCTGTGCCCACCCCTGCTGCTGTGGGGCAGGGTTGGTGACCCCCAGCCCCACACCCAGCCAGAGGAGGGAGGTGAGAGGATCATGGGGCACGTGGAGGGAACAGATCTGAGGGGGTGTCCAGCCCACCCAGGCACTTACTGAGGATGATGAGGAGCCCGATCACAAAAGCCACAACAGCGAAGATCAGCCCCCCATTGCGGATGGTGTCATAGTCTGGGGAGCACGAGAGCCAAGGGGTGTCAGCCCAGGCAGGGTGCGGGGCCGAGCCCACAGTGCAGGGCAGGATGGGAGGGGGCTGCCCAGGGCACACACTCACCGTAGCTGAACCTGTCCAGGCCCTGCTCGGGCGCTTGCTCTGGAAAAGAGGAGAAATCCCAGTGAGAGCCAGGTCCTGGGCATCAGGCTCGTGGCATGGAGGTGGGAGAGACCAGCAATGCAGGCTGCAAGGGAGAGCGCTGTGACTTCCTCAGTGTCCAGCCCAGCCAGAAAATACTTCCCAAACTCCTGCATTTCATCTCAGGAAGTTTAACATCCACGGTGAATTCATGGGATGCACTTGCAGGCTGAGTTCACAGGATGCACAGGAGTTCTCAGGCTCCAGGTGAAGCTGCAGACGGGCCCGGCTCCAGTGCCCTCGGGAAGCGCCGCTGCCCGCAGGACTCGGTGGCTCTGCTCCCTTGGCACGCAGAACTGAGCAGCCCTGCGGGCTCACCCCTCACACCAGGGTGCACCCCGGCAGTGCCCCTCCATGCCTGCAGGCTCATCCCTCTGACAGCTGCGTGTCACCTCTCCAGCCACCTTACCTGACTGCTCAGCCCTCTGCCGGGAGCCGTTTGGAAGGAGAAATCACCCCAAGAAGCCAAACACCAGCCAGCACTGATGTGCCAGCGGGCTGTGGGGCTCTGAGCATCCATCCCCACGTCTCCCCCCAAATCTTTGGTGAGGGTTTCCCCCGTGCAGGAGGGAGCAGCCCTGCTCCTCACATGGAGATGCCCCTGTGAAGGTGCCTGCCCTTACCGTCACCCATCGCCTCGGCGTGTTGTCCAGCAGGCGCCTCGCTCTGGGAGTGGGGCACCCACGGGAAAGCGCATTAATTGGGAGACAAACCTCATTAAACATTAATGGCCTCGGTGTAATGTTTATCGCAGTCACGAGGGGAGGCACAGGGCTCTCTCCTGCCCGCCTTTGGGAAGGAGGGGAGGGCAGGGCAGGGCAGAACCCACCGTGCCAGCCGGCGGGGAGGGCTGGGCACCCCAAGCCGTGGGTGTCCCTGTCCCAGCCCTCCCTCACTTTCCCAGTGCCAGCCCAACTGGGCTTCACCTCCCGCAGCGGTGGAGATCCTGAGGGATGGGCTGGGATACAGGCTGAGGCTGCCTTTGGCTAGAGAAAAGCAGGCAGCACACCCTGCCCTCCAGCCTGGCACTGCGGGTGTCCCACAGCCGGGACAGCACCTCCCAGCCCGAGCTATCCCAGGGGTCCCGGCACAGCGATGTCCATGGTGCATCCCTGCTGGCAGTGGGGTACCAGGATGCTGCGCTCCCCGGGGTGGTGCCAGCCCCGGGCCCAGCCAGGCCAGCTGCCAGGAGGGCTGTGCAATCCAGTTTGCTCTAATCTCACAATCAGCGGGCGCGAGTCACGCGCCCAAGCCGATTAGTGCCGGGGGGAGCTGCCCCCAAAGGAGGCTCCCCTTGGCATGGCCAAGGCGTGCAGGCACTTGGAGCCCACAGCAGCCCAGCTCTGGCGCCACGGGGTGAAGCCAAGCCCTGGAGGGTGCTGTGTGGGGCCATTGTGGTGGCACTGCTGTGACGGTGCCCTGGCAGCGCTCGGCATCCCCCGGATCGGGCGCGGCAGCAGCCCAACACAGCAGCTCCCAAAAAGCTGAGGGACAAGGAGTCTCTGTGCCCACGCTCCCTTCACACAGACTCTGGCTCTCGCTGAAATGCTCCTGGCTGCAGAAGGGAGAGCGCAGGGAGGGGGCTCTGCCCGCACAAAGCCCGTCTGTGCTGCCCAGGGCGCTGCCCCTGCCCCTCTCTCCCCAGCGTGGGAGCTGCCAGAGCCTTGCCCAGCCAGGCTGCCCTGGGAACGCCACGGCCCTCGAGATGATGCAGCCAGGCACCAATAGAAACGATATTTTATTCCTTTCCCCTTAGGTCACAGCACAGAGCACACCAGCCCCTCCAGCACAGCAGCACACTCGCCTATTTAAAAGGAAACACAATAGCTCAGTTTATTTTACAACAGTCAGGGTTTGGCCATTTTACACACCACAGGGGTCTCTTTGTTTCGTGTTAACACCGATGGCACACTATGGACAGCACAGGCACTCTGAGGGACACACACCACTGGCACTCAGGGGCCGGGCCGGGGGTCTGCTCTGCCTGGGAGATCTCTGACAGGCCAGGAGGGAGGGAAGGGACACAGTACTGGGGAAGGGACACAGTACTAGAGACACGCTCCCTCTGCCTGGCACAGATGGGACAGAGCTTCCCGGTGCCACCAAGGCACACCAGGCACACAGCCCACCCTGAAGGCAGGGCCACCACAGCAGGCTGGGCACAGCAGAAACCCCTCTCAAAACCATCCTGGAGGACAAGACCCCCTTCCTGGTGTGGGGATGGCACCCTGAGGTGTTTCAGTGCAGCGCTGGTGATGCCCTGCTGCTGCCCAGGAAAGTACCCCACACCCAAGCTGGCAGTGCCCAGCTCCAGCCAAGGCTTTGCCTGTCCATGGCCTTGGGGAAGGGCCAAAACCCACAGTTTTGCCTCTGACCCATGAGCAAACACAAGGTGACAAGGGACTGTGGACTCAGCATGTTGCCACAGTGCAAGCTCAGGTGTGCAAGACCACCTCTTGCTGCTGCTCCACGGGGGAAGGGGCAGCTGGCACTGGGAGTGACACGGAACCACCACAAGACAACACTCAGCACTGACAGGGGTGGCACAGGCAGCGACAAGGCAGCAGGAGGGGCAGGGAGCTGCCCCTTCCCTGTCGGAGACAAGCACGGACAGGATTTTGTTTCTCTGTAGCCCTCGGACTGTGTACCCTGCCCAGCTCTGTCCATGGGCAGAGTGCAGGCAAGGAGCTGGTTTGTGCTGGTTAGTGGGGGCACCGCTGTGCAGCCACCCTCTGTCACAGTGTCACCGTGCTGGGAACCTCACGGGCTTCTCTGCCACCACCACAGCCTTTCCTCACTCTAAAGCAGCATCCCACGGGTTTAGCCAGGGACAGGAATGGGCAGTGCCAAGCAGGAGAGACAGCAGAGCTCCCTTCAGCCTCGAATCCAGCCCCCCAGTGCTCCCAGTGAGGGGAGCCAAGCCATGGGATGTCCCTGCCCGACTCACCCCCTGCCACAGCTGCCTTTGGGCTGGGGGTGTGCAGGGGGTTATTGCTGAAACGGCGACACTGAGCAGGTCCCTGGGGCGTTGTGGGTACCCAAGCCCTGCCCAAAGCCAGCAGGGGAACCACCAGCACGTGGGCTCTGGGCTGGGGGACAGGGTGTCCCTGCCCCACAGCCCACGCTCCCTGCCCCACACGGCCCCTGTTCCCAGGCTTGGAGGGCAGCCCAAATGGCAGCGCCTGCCAGTCCTACAGAGCCCGAATCACACGCACAGCACGAGAAAGGTGAAGAGAAAGTCACGATTACAACATCAGCAACAACTAGCCCTAGAGGTAATGATCATCTCACAGCAACATTACACACCACGGGAGGCAGAGAGGGCGGTGAGCGGAGTTTAGTCGGGTTAGGAAACAGAGAACCGGTGCTGGAGTACAGAGGGTAACACAGACACGGCAGCTTTGTGCCTCCTGAGAGGGACCTGCTGCTGTGATTTCAGTTTCCTCGCAGGCCGCGGGTGTCTGCGATCCGAGCGTCTCTCCTCGGGTCTCTGGGTCTGCGTGGGCAGGAGAGCAGTGAGTCAGGCTGGGAGCAGCACCGACACCTTTCCCTGCTTGGCTCCCAAACTGCCAGCACGGGCTCCAGGCTTCCCCCTCTCCAAACGGGGGCACAAACAGGGAGCTCGGGGAGCTCTGACTGCATGCACAGGGCGAGACACCCTGAGGGACCCCCACCCAGCTCTCCAAACACCCTAAAACCAAAACCACTTCGGGGTGGGGAAGCACAAGAAAAGGAAGTGTAACACAAGGGAAAATCCGGACAGATGCTTCCTTTTCCTGCTGGGCTGCCTGAAGGACACCCACCAGCACTGTGAGTTTCCCTGCTCTGGGCCCTTCCAGTGCTTGCCCCCACACCACACTGGGGAGGCAGGGCTGCCAGTCCCAGCAGCCTGGTTTGCTCAGAACACCCCCACACACGGCCCCAGCTGTCCCTCCCATCCTGGTGCCGCCACCCAGACTGGCAGGGACTCACCGCATGGATCCTCTTCAGTTCTCTGCCTTCTGTGCCCCCGTTGCTGCAAAGGGAAGAGCAGAGGGGTTTGCAGAGCCTGCCCAGCACCGGGAGCTCTGTGGGCAGGTGGCTGTGACACAGGGCAGGGGACAGTGACCTTACCATTCGAGGTGATCAGGGTCTCTGCCTGAGCCTCCTCATCCCCTGGAGCCCTGCAAGGAGAGAGGCACGGTGAGAGCAGCTGGGAGCTGCACCCCATCCCGGGGGTGGGATGCCCAACAGCACAGGGACACGCTGGGGAAGGTGCTCTAGGAGCTCCTCTGCCACCCAGGAGCTCTGCAGCAGAGCATCCCCCAGATTTGGGCACCCAAAAGGGACATTCAGAGGGTGCAGCCACTCTGCCAGCTGTGGGAGGGAGCCCAGGAGCAGAGTGGCTTTCCAAGGAGATGTTTCCCACTGGGCTGCCCTCACTCACCTGGGTTTCTGGTTGAAACTGCACCTGCACCTCCTGCCTGCAGGGGAAGAGAAATCCATGAGTGTGGCCAAAGTGGGAATGGGATGTGGCCTTTCCCAGTGCCCCCACCACCAGAACAGCCCCTGCTGCCCAGGCCTGCCAGCCCAGCACCTGCCAGGTCCCCAACTTACTGAGTATAAGGAGAATGCCAACAGTGAACAGGACCACGGCAAACACCAGCCCCCCGATCCTCAAGCTCTGGTAATCTGGGGAAGGAGACACAGGGGCTCACTCCTGCTGGGTTCAGGAGAGGGAGCAGCTCTTTTGCTCCCCATGGCACATGCACACCCATCCCACACACAGCCGTGCTCACCATAGTTAAAGGGGTCCTCCTCCTCCTTCTCCTTCTCCTGGGTGGCCACTGGGAATGGGCAGACAAGGGGTGTGAGGTGAGCGAGCCCCTGGCTGAGCCCTGGCAGCCACCCACAGACCCCAGCTGGCACAGGCTCATGTCCCACACCCCACTCCAGCCCCCCTGGATCCATGGGACAGCAGTTCCCCTGGGTCCCACAGCCTTTTCCCAGGAAGAACTCGGCACCTACCGTCTGCCACAGCCACTGGCACCAGCAGAGAGCAGAGGAAGATGAGTGTTGCCTCCATGGCTGCTGCAAGAGAGGGGAGAACCACATGTCAGTACCCAGATGGCTCATGGAGGGCACCATGACAGGGCCAGGGGCACAAGGGCACTAAAGACACACGTGGCTGGCTGTGTGGGCAGGCAGGGCCAGCCCATGCCATGGGAAAAGGAGCCAGGGTGGCTCTGGGGAACACCCAAGGTCTGGCCATAATAACTGGTGTCATCACTGTGCCCAACCTGATGGGGACACATCAGCTTGAAGGCAGGAGGGGAAGGGTTTGAGTGGACAGACAGACTTTTTGTGGGGTCCTGTGGTATATTTTCAACCACCCCTGCATTTGGCATAGATTTCAGTGCAGTTTCGAGTTTGCTCTGCAGGTAATGGGACCAGCACCAGGGCTGTGATCTCTTCACCAAGGTCGATACTGTGCCCTTCACCCAGAGCATACTTTAATTTGTCCCAATTAGCATAGCAATTACAGCACACTCCTACAATGAGGCCAGTGGCCCTGGTGGGACATGAGCTCGAGCCTCCGGGCTCCCTGCACTCACCTGCAGCAGCAAGGAGAGACCATAAATAACCTCAGTGTCCCTCACAGCTGAGCCTGTCCCTGTCCCTTCACTGGGAATGCTCAGCCAGAGCACCAACCCTTCTCCCAGGGATGCCAGCCCAGGTTTAACAACACTGTGGCCAGGCTGTGACACTCCTGCCAGCTCGGCCAGGGGTGCGTGTCCCAAATTGCTGCACCCATTCTGGGTGGGCACCCTCGCTGCTGGGACTGACCAGGCACCACTGCTCTGCTGAGGGAAGGCACTGCCAGCACCCATGGTGCCCATAACCCCCTCCAAGCACCCCTTCTCCAGCTCCAAAGGGACAGGCAGGGGACAGGGGGGATCTGCTCTCTGTGCTGCCACTGGCACAGGGCACTGCAGACCCACTGGCTGTGTGAGGGGGACACCTCGTGCCAGGAGGAGAGGGCTGAGCTGCTGGAGCACACCGGGGGCTCTGGACTGTGGATGCAGGCTGGGTGCTGGCTCCCTGGCCCCTGCAGCTCCCCGTGCCTGTCCCTGTTCATGTCTGTAGTGCCAGGCAGTCACTGAGTGCCCTGACGGTGGGGCTGGGTGGCCATACATGGTCAGGAGCAGGGAGAGGGCTCTCTGCTGGCACGGGAGAGGACGGGGGTTATCAGGCGCCCTGCAGGCACCGATAGCACCGAGTGCTCCAGAGCTGCCGCAGCTGCTGTGCTGGACTGGTGCCGATAAGGAAGGGGCCCTCGGCAGAGCAGGAATTCAGCTCGCTGACGGACGCGGATCCCGCACGCTGCTACTCAGCCCCTCCACAGCCTGACCTGATTCCCACACAACCTCCATCCCAGCCCACCCCAACTGCCAGCGGCAGGGGAGGCAGCTCAGCTGCCCCAAGCCAGCTCCTCAGGGCACTCAGGTCCCCCAGACCCTGCCAGAGCCCCTTCTCCCAGGATTGGCAGGCACGGAGCAGGCTCAGCAGAGCCCACCACTGTCCCCAGCAGCATTTGTCTCCATGGCCTGTCCCCAGTGCTGCCCTCAGGAGCCAGTTCCCATCACACTCACAGAGGATGCACCCCCAGCCCGACCCCAGCACATTCCCAGAACCTGCCTCATTTATCATAACAAGCAGCACATCCCATGATAATTCCCATCCTTCCCTCCCCTTCCATGATTTGCCATTCCAAAGGCGATGTGTTTATCCGAACACTGGAGGGTTTTATCCCCCTCTCCTGCAGCTGCTGCTGCCATTGTGTATCGTGGGGCTGCACTGGATTGCTCCCCGGGCCCAGACAAACCCCCTCGTTTGCTGAGACACATCATTCGGGGATAATTACCAGGTCTTAGAAACACACACAAAGAACCCACAGCTGGTGGCACAGTAACTTGTAGCTGCACATTTCCCCATGTCCTTTATCTCCTGTTCTTTATCTCTTCTCCACTGAGTCTGCCAGCGCAAAATCAGAGTCATTACCCATACGAGGGTGCTGCGTGTGCACTAGAGATGTGATACAGCTCACGCTATCACAACGTGAACAGTATTAATTGGCTCCTGGAGAACATTAATGATGCCTTTATTTTTCAAACAAGCCATCCATCTGATGCTCACTGTTTATTTTGCCGTTATTTGCCCATTCTTGGAGCATCCTATTCGGGGAATTTTGCATTATTCCCTGCCCTGAGCCTCTCCACGTGGGGCTGGGCCCTGCTCAGCCACACACACTGTTTCCAACCCTCTGCTCAGCTCTTGGCTTCCCGCACGTAGCACGGCAGAGTTCACCGTTTGGCCCAGCCAGGCACGCAGCACACATATGTTCTTTGTTTTTCTAACTCAATTCCTAGAATTCACACACTTCCGCACGCTAAAAACTGATCTGCGCACGAGTTGAGCGCCAGGATTGGCAGTGTCCCTGCTCCAAAGGCAAACACAGCGTTCTGGAGTGCAAACGAGCCCAGCTCTCCTCCAGGGGAGCATATGCTTTGCGAACAGCCACAGGTTTTCTGGGTTGCTCCAAGCTGGCCCACCCACTTCTTCCTGAAGCTGAAATAAAGTGAGAAGAGCAAACATTGCCAAGGGTTTGCCGCTCTCCCTGCTCCTGCCTTCCCTCGTGCAGGATCCAGCTGCACCTTGGCACAAAGGGAGAGGGAAACAGCGGCTGCCCGAGGAACCGTGGCAGCGCCGAGTTCGGCCGCTTCCTCACCACCCAAATCTCCCTGTTTTCTCCCTGTCGGTGACAGAAAGTTTGGAGTCACCACCCCGAGCTGCCACGTATCCATGCACACCACAGGGAGTGGCAGTGCCTGCGACTTGAACCAAAACAAGGGGTTTTCCTGTTAAAACTTGGAGATCTGGCTGAACACAGAGAGAAGGCGGAGCGGCGCAGGAGCAGGGCAGTGGCGGCTGGAGCTCCCTTCCCTTTCCTCTCGACTCAAACTGCTGTTTTATGATGGAAACCAGATATTTCCACCCCCCCATCCCTATCTGCATAGCAAGAAGGAGGCATCTGGAACTTGGGAGAGGCTCAAGGGGAAGGAAGCAGCGACAGAGAGCGAGGGAATACCTGGAGTTTGCTGTTTTCTGTGAGGATGTGGATGAGAGCGGGCTGAGGGAATAACCCAGTGCCACAGAGGACCCGCCCTGTGATGTGAGGCTGCAGGGGCTCAGTTCCCTCTGCTCAGCACAGCTGGCAGGGCACGAGGGCAGGGCTTGGTGGCAGCACCAGGGCCACCCTCCCCACTCCATCCCACGCTGTGCCGGGTGTCAGGAGCCTCCCTGGGTGATTCACGGCCCTGCCACGCGCACAGCCAGCACACTTCCCTCCATGCAGAGCACAGCCATAGCTCCTCCTCACAGCCTCTTCCTTCTGGATAATCCCTCCTCGCAATTCCCATGCCGCTGGCTTGGTGTGTGTTTGTGTGTGTGTGGAGCCCGGGCGAGGCAAATCCGGGCGGACAGACCCTGCCTCTCCTGCCTGGCTCAGCTCTCTGCAGCACAGCAAATCATGCCAGAGCAAGGCAGGTGAATTTGTAACGCTGCTGGATCTTCCAGTCCCCTTTTCCTTTTCGTTGTTTTGCACGGATCTGCACTGTCAAGTCTCAGCCATCACAGCGTAATGCTGGGCAGCCTCCGCCTTCCATCAGGAGTCCTCGGGGCATCTCCTGAAGATCAGACCTAGTTAAAATCTCTGGTTTCTGTGCAAAGCCCCCCAGACCGTGACAGCAGCGCTCCGCTGCCCGGGGCGTTTAGGAGCGTGCATGTGTGAATGGACATTTCCAGCTCTGCATAGATGTGCTCTTCTGCCATTTCACGTCAGCATCAATCTGGTTATTAATGTGCCTGTTGTTGTGCCTCGTGCTTCTAAATGAGAGAGAAGGAGAGATTTCCAGCCCTCGCCATTCCGACATGGATGGCACTTCCCAAATCTGGTGCTGATTCAGAGGCTGACTGCACAGAAGACACAAAACTAACTTTACTGCAATCTAATTGCCTCTTATGGGTTTGGGGTGTCTCTAAGCACACCCTGTGCTGCATCCCTCACCTGTACCCCAGCATTGCACTTGCAGGGCTTCTTCCAGCCTCATGGAATTGGCCCTAACCCATCAAGGAGCCTCAGCCAAAGCTGCCTGGCCGTGTCTGGCTCAACACAGTCCCTGTCCCACCATGACAACGTCCCAACAAGCAGGGGCAGGCACAGAGCAGCGAGGACAACCCTCCACTGAGGCAAATCTCCAGTGCAAGCACTGCTGAGGTAATGGCTGCCTGGCCAGGGAACCCTGGGCTCCAGGAGGCAGTAAACATCACCACCACCACCATCTCCCATCAGGAATCTGCTGCTCCCGATCCCTCCTCATTTGCTTAAGAGATAACCAGGTGCTGTAAACCCTACTGTGCACCTGCCTGGACTGTCCCATCCTCCCACCACACCCAGCCCTCCTTTGGCTGCACACTGGCTGAACAAGCCCAGGCTCTGCGTGCTGAGCAGGGCAGCAGCACACGGCAATCACGCAGGTGAGGCAAAGCAGAGGTTACTTGGCAGGTCCTGGTGGTGAGAGAAACTCGGATCAGCAGCACACACTGACAGAGCAGCGTGTGGGAGAAGCTGTTCCAGGCTCCCATGTGTGCTGGTACCACCATAATGCCACGCTCAGCAGCACATCAGAGCGGACATTTTCTCCGTTCTCTCCCCTGCTGTCACCATCAGCCACAGCCACGAGGCAGACACCAGTCCCCAGCAGCACGGCCGGTGTCCCCACCATCACTGCCACACACTGCGTGGAGAGACAGGCAGGTGGCACAGCCCCCAGGCAGGCAGGGCAGGGCAGGGCAGGACACGTCCACACTGCCAGTGCCAGCGGTGCCTCTCTGTGCTCAGGTGACAGCTGTGGAGCTCGGCAGCCTCTTTACACCTTGGAAACACACAAAGAGCCCCAAAGGCAAACACAGCTGGACACAGAGCTGCTGCCTTGTCCTCAACACCTGGCAAAGCCGTGACTCTCCACCGTGTTTTACCTGAACAGGTATGCTGCGAGCAGGCAGGTAAAATTCCAAGGTGAGAGGGAGACCTTAGGCTGATGAGAGGAAGGCACAGCCAGCCTCACACCTGGCACGGGATATTCTCCAGCAGGTCCCAGACACGCTCTAACAGGTGGCCTGGCTCGGCAGCCACAGCACTTCACGCTGGCATCTCTCCCTCACACGTTTCACCTCACTCTGCCTCAGAACCACGGTCCGGCTGCGCATGGGCAGGGATTCTCTGGGCTTGTCTTTGTTTCAAACTGGGAGCAAAACCACCCACAGGGACTGAAAATCCCAACGGGACCCAACAGCACCGTGGAGCACTGCGGGCTTGCCAAAATGGGTGCTTCATCCTAATCCACACACGGCTTTTCCCAAGAGGCTGCTCTTTCACGCTGCTTATTCACATCCACACAAACCACCTGTCACTTTCCCTCCCACAGAAATATCCCTGCAAGATCCGAGTTCCACCACATGGACTCCAAAATCCGTCTCTTTGGAAGCATTAATTACACACCCTGAGAGACACGCTCTTCCCTTCCTCCAGACGCCTTCCCGGGATAAGGCGCTTGGCTGTTTACGCGCGGTGTTACTACAATATTGAACAACGGGAGCCAGGGCGCTGCCAAGGAGGGATCCCCCCGCTCCCCGGCCTCCCCCGCCGCTCCCCGGGATCCCCCCGCTCTGCAGAGCCCAGCCAGCCTGGGGAGCACTGGGTGTGAACCAGCTCTACCCACGGTGGTCTCGGGTGGGGTCCACCGGGGGATCGTCCCCAGTACCGGGGAGGGGGGGCTGGTAACCAGGCAACGGTGGGATAAGGGGAAACCGCGGTACCCGCCGTTGCCATGGCAGCCGCCGGGGCCGGGATGCGGGCGGGTCGGGGCGCGGGGCGATGCCCCGGGGGCAGCGGGGCGGGGTCCCGGCCGCCTCCCCGGCAGGAGCGGGGTGAGACGCGGTACCGCACTCCGGCACCGGGACACGGGACCCCCGAGCGGGCACGGCCGAGCCCAGCGCTGCCGGGGGACCCCGAGTACCCCGACCGATCGACCGACCACCCACCCACCCTTCCTCCCTCCCTCCCTCCCCAGCGGCCCCTCGAAGCCCCCCGACGGCCGGACCCACCTGCGCTGGCCGTGCGGGGCCGTGCGGAGCCGGGCTGGCCCCGCGGCTCCGGGCGGTGCCGGGGGAGCGGAGCGGAGCGCGGAGCGGGGCTGCCGCACAAAGGGGAGCGGGCGGGCGGGGCGGGGGCGGTGCCTGCGGGGCGGGGGGCGCGGGCAGCGGCGGGGGGCGCGGCCAGCACGGCCCGGCCCTCGGCGGCTCCCAGATCCCCCCAGAGGAGGGCACGGGGATGCTCTGGGGGGATGGAGCATCTCCACTGTGAACACTGGCTGGGAGAAGAGAAGGCTCCGGGGAGACCTCAAAGCCCCTTTCAGTGCCTAAAGGGGCTCCGAGGGGGCTGGAGAGGGACTCTGGATAAGGGCACGGAGTAATGGAACAAGGGGGAATGGCTTCCTACTGCCAGGGCAGGGTTAGATTAGATATTAGGAAGAAATTCTTCCCTGTGAGGGTGGGGAGGCCCTGGCACAGGTTGCACAGAGAAGCTGTGGCTGCCCCATCCCTGGAAGTGTCCAAGGCCAGGTTGGAGCAACCTGGTCTAGTGGAAGGTGTCCCTGCCCATGGCAGTGGGGTTGGAATGAGACGAGCTTTAAGATCCCTTCCAACCCAACCCATTCTGTGATTCTGTGGTTCTGCAAAAATCACGGGGTGTGTGAGGTGAAAGGCTTACCTGGCTTTGGAACATCCCTTCACACCCTGGAGAGCAGGGGTGGACTCTGCCCCGTGCTCTGCACCTGCCGTGGAGGGAGCAGGGAAAGCAGTGAGCAAGGAACAGATGCTGGAGCTCCTCTGGGGCCAACAGAAAGCACACACAGATGAATTGGTAAACACGACACAGAAGCTTTTGTGTCTTGCTGCCTCCCGAGGGCGGGAAGGCAGAGCTGGGAGAGGGGCTGCCACGATGCCAGGCCAGGTGGCCCAGTTCACAGGGCTTCAGTCACATCACTCAGCCAGATCTTGAGGACCACTCAGGCCAGGGTGGGCAGTGGGGGCACTTCCAGCCCGGCCTGGGTCAGTTGTGGCAGCACCTGGTTTGGTTTCAGGCACGCTCAGGACCTGCTGCCTGCACTGGCTCCCCCAGATCCACCAGCATTTGGCAGCTGCAGAAAGACAGACCCTTTGGGTCTTACCCAGAGCCGGTCAGGAACCAGCACACACTTCAGGCAGCAGCAGCAAAATGCTACCTGACAGGAGAAGGGCTGGACAAACCACTGCTGTGAATGCCCTGTCACAGAGTTTTGTGGCAAGTGACCAGTTTATTCCCATCAGACAGCTGGGAATGTGGGGAGGAGCAAGACTGGGAGGGAGATACGTGTTTAATATAGGATGTGAAATGGGAACAGGGTGCTGGGGGCACTGCCAGGCA